ATTTGACCCCCTCTCTCTCTCATTTGTTACATTTTCTTTTTCTTTTTTCTTTTTTTCCTGCTCCTCCAATCACCAACCGCCACGTGTGTGTGGGGTTGTGGGGTGGTGATTGGAGGGGATCTCTATCATAGCTCTAAAAATATATATATGTATTAAGTATATTAAATAGTATTTTGTACAGACCTAACTGACACACTTAGTGAACTTCTAAGCTATTACTAATGAGCCAAGATGCTCATTAATTTTTTATTATCAGTTGGTTTGTATCCCTTTTTCAAGGTATGAATGTGCTGTTTGTTTGGTTTCCTTTTGTCATGACAGTGAAGTTTTTTTTGGGGCAAATTACATATACACCCCTCGAGGTTTGGCTAAATTACAGATACCCCCCTGAGGTTTGAGAAATTACGAATTCTCCCCTGAATGCTATATTTGCATAAGAAATTAGGGGGTAATTTGTTACAAGATATTCATTAATTTTTTATTATCAGTTGGTTTGTATCCCTTTTTCAAGGTATGAATGTGCTGTTTGTTTGGTTTCCTTTTGTCATGACAGTGAAGTTTTTTTTTTTTTTTGATCAAGTCATGGCAGAGACTTCTGAGAAATTCCTTCTAAGGAGCTTTGGCTTTCTTCACTTTCCAGCTTCCACACAATCATTTCCAAACAGTTTACAAGTTTGTGAAAGGAAACTTCAAATTAATCACAAGTAAATAACAAAGAATATATATATATACTTTCAAACGATGCAAAAGAAAATTTGAAGTTTACTTTGAAGTTTACTTTCAAGTTTCAACAACCCTGAAGGCAAGTGCACTCTAAACGTGTTTTAGTATGTCAAAGAAAGCTGCAGACCATAGTTTACTTCACACTAAGGTCAAGTTTGAGAATTTTACAAATAATATAATAATAATTAATTTTTATTAAAAAAATTACCAAATTGATTGTCATAAGTTAAAAAAATCAAATGCCCTATCATTTTTTTTTACTAAAAAAAAAATTAATAACTTGTCGAACACATTATTATTTTTTTAGTTTCTAAAAAAATTAAAAAGTCGTAGAGTCACAACCCTAACCACTAAGAGTTATTTTGTAAAAGAAAATGCTTGAGATACCTAATTTATCACTCTTAAAAATCACCTCTAATGATGTATTTGAAAAGTGTTGAAACATTCTATCATATGGGGTCTCCTCAATACCACATAAGGTCATTTAAGTATGATAAATTAGAAGGATGTAGTATTGTTGTTCTAGCCATTTAAAAAAAAATATGTCAAACAAATTAATTTTTTTAACATTTATTTTATTTTATTTTATTTTATAGGTTTGTCTTAGCCAAAAAAAAAACTTTTTAGTTAACCCCTAAAGAAAAACTAAAATAAAGGATAATTATATGGTATGCACTCATTATTTATTTTTTTATTTATTGATTTTTGGTGAGTTAATCTCTTGTGATTTTTAATTGAGCATTGAGAGAGATCCCCTCCAATTACCACCCCACAACCCCACACCCACATGGCGGGTGGTGATTGGAGGAGAAGGGAAAAAAAAAGTAAAAAAAAAAATAGCCAATAAAAAAAGAGAGGGGATCAAAGGGAGTGAGGGAAAATGGGGTCTTAAACATTTTTGTTTTTAATTATGACCTCAGTATGCTCCATTATGGTTTAAAGTGATGAAACTATCTCAATGTCAAATCAAAATGATTTATAAATGTATGGAAAAATATTAAATCAGTGGTAATTTTAAAAAATAATGATAAAGTAATAATAAATTTTATAAATATTAATAATTAAAATTTTAAAAATTTTCATAAGTTTTGTCATATTCACATGATGGAACTCTTTGAATGAGGAAGCCTAGTGGGTAGGGAAACCCTTACAAATCAAATAAGACTAGTGAAATTATGGTCTTATTTGGAAATTAGAATTTGTAATCAAAAAATTATTATAAATTATTAAATTTTTATATTTATTTTTTATATATTTTTTATTAAAAAACTAAGAAGTTATTAAAAAATAAATTCTCAAACACTCCTTAAGAATTTATTTGACTAAGGCCTCGTTTGGCAACTTACTTTTTTAGCCAATTAGTCAAAAAGTTACTAAATTAGCCAAAAAACCAACAACTCATACCAAAAAGTCAAAGATTCTCTTTTCTCTCTACTTTTTGCACATCTTTTCGTAATTAGCCAAAAAGTCATCCCAAACATACAAGTTTTTTTTACCTACCTTTAGCCAAATAGTCAAAAAATTACTAAATTAGTCTGTTTTCAAACGAGGCCTTAATGACTATTCATATACATATGGAGCTTAAAAAGGATCTAAAATAAATCATGATGCCAACGCATACTATTAAGGTTGTGTTTGTTTGGCGAATTAGGTTGGATGAGATTATTAGTAAGAGAATTGCTAGTGGAGAAATTGCTAATGTGTGGATTGTTAGTGAAGGGATTAATTAAAAAAGTATTTATTTTGATGATAGTGTAGGAGATGATTAGTGATGAGATTGTTAAATTATTTTTTATATAAAATAAATAAATAAATTATTTCTATATTAAAAAAACTAAAACAAATAGGTGCATTTGGTTAAAATAAAATAAAATTAAAAAAATAATTTTTTTTTATATAAAATAGACTTAATTCCTTCATTATTTTCCTAATCTCACCTAAAATTCACCAAATGCCCCTTTCACTACTAATCCTATGACATTTTATTGCATCCAAATAAGAATTTGATGAGTCTCACAAATTGATAATTCAATCCACCATCCCAAACCGCTAATCAAACATGGCTTAAGTTCCTTGTAGCAAGGTTTGGCCCATCGAAAAAGGCACATCTTGTTTGGTTTTTAATAATTTAAAAATTATTTTGTAGTTTTTGCTTTTCTTATTTTTTAATAAATTTTACATGTAATTAAAACATGAAATATTTATAAAAAATTTGAAATCATATTTTGAAAAGTAGGGGCAGAACTATATGTTTACAAGTTTTGTGTCAAATGATATCATTGAAATTTAAAGGGTAAATTATAAATACATCTCTAAAGTTTGTTTAAAATACAGATTATTACTTGTAGTTTAAAAAATTACAAATATCTCTTTGTTGAAAAAAATTATTTAACAGAATTAACTAGAAAAAAAATTCATAATTACTTTTCTATACAATGATAAAATTATCTAAATTATTAATAGAAACATATTTATAATATCATTAAAAACTGTTAATTGAATTGATAATTTATTAATAAAAGGGGTGATTTGTTATGAAATTAGAAATCTCAGAGGGTGGAATGTAATTTTTAGAACTATAGGAGCGATTTGTATTTTAATCAAATCTCATGTGTGTATTTGTAATTTATCCAAATTTAAAAAAGGAATATTTACACATAAGTCTTAATTTATGAATTTATACTGCATTAAGTTCTAAGTAAGATTTTTAAACTTTCACGTCCTATTAAATTTTTAATAATCGGAATTACTCTTTAAACAATGATTGTTCATCATTATGATTATCTATAAAGGAACATGATAATTTGACATTTATTTTGATTTTTAAAACTTTAAAACATCAACTTTCAAATTGAAAAACTAAAAAAAAAAAATTACGTGCAAAAAAGAAAATGTTTTCTTTTTTTGAAAAAAATTGAAAAAACTAAATTATTTTTTGTACAAAACTAAAAATTTTGTATCTATAAAAATGTATGATGGTGGAACATTGATGTGCAAAGCTGGAAAAAAAAATTAAATGAAAAAATTGATAATATTCTTAGTTTTAAAACTGAAAAAAATTGATAATGTTATGTTTTTTAGTGAATAATTGAATGGCAAAAACGTTTAATCCCATATTTTTTTTTATCAACAATTATCTAGAATATTACTATGCAAAATTGATAATATTCTTAATTTTAACAATTAAAAAAAATTAATAATATTTTTAATTTTATTAAATAGAACTTATTAGTTCAAAAAATTTTAAATAGATTCTGAATTACCACAACATTTGTAAATATCACTTTTAGATAATTAACTCTTTGAAAAAAGAAAAAGAAAACTACTTATATAGAATTATGTAATTGTGGAGAACTTTACAAAGTGAACTCAATGGCCAATTTACATGTTGTCTTGTTCCAATCTTTTTTTCTAATGTGTTTTTTTTATTTATTTTATGTGTGAATAATTTAACGTCAACGTGTTTGTACATATAATTTATGTTATCGTAAATGTGATGATTTTAATAATTTTTTTTTTAAATTCTAAACTTGATGATGACTTGTAAAAAATTCTCAATAAATAAAATTTCTAATTATGCCATAAATTTAAATTTGTCAGGGTGTGAAGGTCACCCTTCAAATAAATATGGTCCACGAATTTTATTTTCGAGATTTTTTTTTTAAAAAAATATACATATATATTTTTACGTGCAGAGAAGTATTTGGCACAATAAATTTTCAATGATGGAGATTTTTAATTTTGAAAATTTAAAAAGAATTTTAATAATGTGATAAGAAAAAAAATTATAGAGACTCTAATTTTTCTGTGGGTGACGCCTTCTGCGCATGTATCATTGCTTAAATGAATGGAGAGAAAATTCCATTACCATTGCCATGCATTTTCGTCCCAAATTTCCACAAAGACTTTTAACATTAAAAAATACGCATACACACACACACACACACACATATATATATATATATAGATGTATTCATCTATATCCATAATCCATATTCCCTCTCCTCACTTAAGCCCCTCTCTCTCTCTCTCTCTCTCTCTCTCTCTGTGTCTCCCTCTCTCTCATCACACACACACACATATATATATATATATAATCATTCACACACACACACACACATATATATATATATATAGATGTATTCATCTATATCCATAATCCATATTCCCTCTCCTCACTTAAGCCCCTCTCTCTCTCTCTCTCTCTCCCTGTCTCTCTCTCTCTGTGTCTCCCTCTCTCTCATCACACACACATATATATATATATAATCATTGTAATGGAGAAGACAAAAAGTGCTTTAATGGTTGCCATATCACCATTGCTGGAAAACACTCCAACAGCTACTTCTTTCCCATTTGTAGGCGTCATTTCATTGTGTTTAGTTCTACATTGGCTTGTTACAACACTTAATCATTTCTATTCATTGCTTATTCACTCCCTTATCACCATAGTGAAGTCTTTCAGGGCTGAGGAAAAGAAGAACACCATTGTATCCGGTGTCACGACCCCATCGGAACCTTGCTCTGATGTGGATGATGACAAGTTGTTCAGATCAGAAGTGGAGGTGGTGATGGGAAAACTAGGATTTTCTTACGATCCAAAGGGGGGTGAGATTGAAGAAAGGGTAGGATTGGAGGAGATAGAAGCTTTGTTAGGGGAGGAAATGAGGTTGGAGGATGTTGAGGAAGCTTTTGATGTTTTTGATGAGAACTCTGATGGGTTCATTGATTCAAATGAGTTGAAGAAAGTGCTTTGTGTGTTGGGTTTTCAAGAAGTTTCAGAAATGGAGTGTGAAAAGATGATTAGGGCCTTTGATGATAATGGAGATGGAAGGATTGATTTTGGTGAATTCAAGAAACTCTTGGAGAGCACCTCTTGCTAGACAATTTTCTATTTGGACAATTGAAACGGAGTGTGTTGTTGTGCCATTTCAATTCCAAAATAAGGAAATGGATTCTTTTCGCTTGGGCATTCCAACTCCATGTTGCGCTCATCCGCCTTATCTTAGGATTCATTTCGATAATCTGATTATTTTATCTTGCACAATTCACTAAGCAGATGATATCAATATCCACATAATTTTAATATGGGACTATTGATATCCGATCTTTTTATTTGTATTGATATTCTGCTTAACGAATTTTGCAAAATAAATAACGTGGATCATTGAAATAAACCCTAAAATTGACCGGTTGAGGCCCAACAATACAGCTCCAAGAGAAAATCCAGTCCCCCAAAATAATTACATATGGTTGGTGTCATTTATTTTATCTTCCACAATTATTTACATTTTCCTATCCAATCTTCAAGATTGGGCTGCAAAAGGAGGCAGTTTCCTAGACTAGTAACATCCTTTACTTTTTCCACCAAATTGTAAAGAAAGATGGACTTTAGATCTCATGTTTCTTGTTCTACTGTAATTACCACTGTCAGTTGAAGCCTTTCTGCAATCATCTTTTGAGGGAAGATGGTTGCAACAGGAAAAAAAAAAAAAAAAAAATTGCAACAAGGAAAAAAAAAAAAAAAAAAATTATGTATGGTATTAATTTAAATTTGGCGATGTGACATTTAAGATGAATTTGATCTATATATTTTAAATTATGAATATTTTTTTGAATGGTGTACATTTTTTCAAATTGTTATCTCAACTTGAGAGAGCATTTAAGCTTAGTAAACCCATTTTAGAACCGATTCCGGTGATCTGAACTGTTCACTTTTTAAAACTTGTTGAGTAAAATATTCATACAAAAAATAATATAATTGGACACCAGTAACTATATGTTTGAATCGCCGAGGCCCTTGTAGCCAAGTGGCATGTAGTTACGCCTTAAGGTGCACTGAGTGGAGGGTCTGGGTTTCGAGTTGATGGAGCCCTTTTAAGTTGTAACCTAACTTTACTAACATATTAACCTTTTATCTTTGACAAATATATATGTATATATATATTTGAATCATATTTGTTTTAAAAAATTAGACGACCAATATAATTTCAAAAATAGTTATTCATTTTTTTTAATAGAAATTTGATTCAAACATATAGTTACCGATATCCGATCATCTTATTTTTTGCATGAATATTCTACTCAATGAATCCTAAAAAGTGAACAATTCAAATCACCGAAATCAATCCCAAAATAAATCTATCAAATTCAGACGTTCTCTCAAATTGAGATGGTCAATATGAGACGGTCGAACCCATAACGTTATAATAGTGTGTATTGCCTACATGTAAGAGTGTAAAAATGGCCCGCAGACCAGGGTGGGCCTAGCCCGTTTAGGCCTGTTTGGGCTGGGGCCCGAGCTCAACCAAGACCTTAGGCCTGAACCTGAGCCATCATTTTGAAGCCCGACCTAAGGCCCAGTGTCTTTTTTAGTGAAAATTTATAAAATTTTGGTAGAAAAAATAAAATAAAAAAATAAAAAAAAATTTGTTCAAGCCCGTCCAAGCCCGAGCCCAGGCCCATCGATCCGTCCAAGACCTGTTCTTTAGGCCTGGGCCTAATTTTCTGGCCCATGGCCCAGCCTGGCCAAGTCCGAATTCTGACAGGAGCTCGCGAGACCCAACATGGATTGGGCCAAATTTACACCCCTACCTACATTTATATGGAGTTAGCATCTTGGGTATAATAAGGGTAAGGGGGTCACTGTAATATTGGCAATTATTATGGGGAGATCTTGTAATTTGCTTTATATTTATTTATTTTAAAGAAAAATTAAATTACAAATGTACCCTTTAAGATCGGTGTAAAATAGGAATTATCTCATATATTGTTTGGGAAGGGCTAAAGTGGTTATTTTAGCCACAAAAGACAAAATAAGTTATTTTAGCTATAAAAAATAAAATATCACATCCAACCCATAATCATTACACTCTTCTCTTACAAACAAAATCAAAAAAGTCAAAAAGTCCTTTCCAAACCAAGTTTTTTAGCCCTAGCTAAAATAGTCAAAAAAATCAAAAAGTCAACCCACTTCCCAAACTGAGGCAATGAAAATGATAAATATCCATTGTCAAAATTTTTTAGCTAATAGAATTAATAAAAAAATAAATAAAACATCTAATAACTCCCCCATATAATAATAAAATTATCATAATTATTAATTGAAATATATTTTAAAAATTATTAAAATCTATCAATTGACTAAATGAATTATTAATAAAAGGGATAATTTATTATGCAATTAGAAATTTAAAGGGATGAAACATAATTTTCAAAATAATAAGAAATCTTTTGGAAATTGGGTTATAATCAACTTCCCAGATTATAATCCACTTCCCTCTCTCACAAAAAACTGATTATAACCATCTTCCCAAAATAGCCAACATGTTAGGCAAATCTTAAGAAATATATTTATAATTTACCAAAAAAAATAATAAAAAGGATAAATTATAATTACACTCCTAAAATTTGCTTAAATTATAGAATCCCTCCTACAGTCGTAAGAATTATATCATGCATCTTCAAATTTCTAATTGTATAATAAATGATCATTTTTATTAATAAATTATTAAATTAATTAACAGTGTTTAGTGATCTCATAAATATATTTTCAACTAACAGTTTTAATATCGGTGTCATAAATATATTTTCAACTAACAGTTTTGTACGGGGAGCAAATATTCCGGCAAGCCCGTACTCCTTTCTTCCGAGCTCCGTCTCTGTCCGATCACCTACGCGCAAACAATGGTGAGCTACCCGGCGGTGTGTGGCCGGAAAAACCCTCCGACGATCAAGTTAGCACACACCTTAGGATAGAGAGAGAGAGAGAGAGGTGTTTGAGTGTAAGAAATTCCTTACAAAGTGTTCATCTGTCCGTGTATGGGAGGCGCAGACATGCTTATATAACCTCTGCGCCCCATATCCACTCCCAGTCATCTCCTGACACGTGGCTCCGCTATCCCATCTGTCAGCATAAACCTTGCCGATCATCACCTAATCACAACTGCCTGCCTTCTCAGCGGAGCTCGGCAGCCGAGCTGCTCTATCCACGGTCGTGTGTGTGCTTCATACCAAAGCGCTTCACTGGCTAGGCCCAGGGAGGACCGGGCTAGACGGCATCTCGGCAAAGCCAAGCCCGGGGCACCTCCGTGGCGGCCTCTGCCGATCAAACGGTTTCCTCGGTTGACCACGCCTTTCCGGGCGCCGGTCGCTCAGCTTGTCTAGCTTCAACCATCCCCTGATCAAGCAGCTCGGTCCATACGAGCACTACCTTGCCGAGCTTTTTCACGGCCCGCCGACACACACTTGGCCCAATCCTACTCGGGCCAAGTTCTGGCAGCCCATCCCGGGCGGATAGTCGATCATCTCGGCCCATGCACGGTTGGCCTCTCAACCTGCTCGGCCGTTGCCTCGGCCCAATTCCAGGTCATAAACCACCCTCTCAATGCCCCTTAATTCCGTCCGCGAAAGCGTGGACTGGGATTACTCACTTCGACCGAGTAACATTTCTCCGTCTTTAAGATGCCAAAGCTCAACCGGCTAGTTAACATAACTGTCTGCAAACTTGCCCTGATACTCCTCGGCTGACATCCTTTTCTTCGAAAGTAGCTCGGCTGGCTCTTCGACTCTTTAACCCGTCGCTTCAGTCCTGACGTCGCCATAAATGGGGACACGTGGCGGGACTGCCATTGGTCATCGAGCAGCCAAACCCGCCAATTTTTGCCAGAATTTGGAATTTGGGCGGCCTCTCTCTTGTCTATAACATACAGGACTCCAAACCACCTCCTCCTCGGCCATTCTATTATACGACCCAGAGCTCTAGCACCTTGCCTTGGCCTCGTCTGCCATTCTTCGTGGTTCGAGGGAAAAGACCCTGCCCTTCACTGGTGAGTCCTTCTACCCCTATTTTGTTGCTATTTTCTTCATAACACACAAGGCACAAAAACGTAGCTCTTAGGGCTAGCCTAGAAACCGCCCAAACTCTCATTGTTCTGGATGTTCTTCATCTCCTGAAGAACACCTGAAGAACTGGGAGCGAACGCCGGCGGCTCCTGCTCTTGATCCAAAAATCCAACCTAACCGAGCAAATAACATGTTTGTCTCACCCTAGAAAAACCGAGAATAACAAAAGACTGGTCGCTCAACCGGGCTAACATCTGTCTGCTTGGGCTGACCGGCCCTCCTTAGTTAGAATAGACAAACTGAGGTGGTTTGGCACTCTTAATGACCGAGCTAAAGTCCACTCCTTTCGCGACCGCGGCGTCACACTACACTTGCATCCTTTTTCTGCAGAGTCCAAGGGGACCACTGTCATTCCTGAGGCTCTCAGGACCGAGCAGCAACCAATTACCACAGTGCCAAACCCCCGCCGGGATATACATAAGCCGCCCACAAATGGAAATTCCGCTTCCCAGTGAGACTCCGGCCGCGCGGCTGCGTTCAGGGATGAGTACGGCATCCCGCCGATTCCACTAGAGCCGCAGAAGAAGAGACCACGCCTTGGGGTAGAACAGAACAATGCCCCTTCACCGTGCTGTCGATGGTCGAAGGAGGGCTCCGCTTCCCTCTGAACCCACTCATCACCGAGTTTCTACGCCGAACCGGGCTGGCACCCACCCAAGTGTCTACCAACACTTACCGGATAATAAACGGCGTGCATGAGCTAAACAACCGGTTAGGCATTAGCCTAGGTTTAGCCGAGGTCCTGCGCCAATACACCCTGGGCCACACTGGCGACGGCCTTGCCTATTATCTCAAAATTAGATCGGGCCGAGAGAAAATCGTGACCGGCACACCAGACAAGGATCTTCACGACGATGATTTCTTCTGGGTGTCTGGCAATTATGAGACAGCCGATGTACCGGGCTGGATGATTAGCAAAAACTTTGGCAGCACATGTAAGCCGCGCAAATTACCTCGGTTAATACACTTTTTTGATGTT